TGGGCCCAAACCCCTTTGTTCCCGGTTTCTCTCCCTCCTTCCCCCCAGCAGCACAGGGGACAGGGGATGGGGTTTAGAGTCAGTTCACAGGCTGGTGGTTCCTGCTGCTCCTTCCTCCTCAGGAAGAAGGATTCCTTACAGTCCTTCTTCCCACGGGTACCCTTCCATGGGAGAAAGTTTTCCATGAACCTCTCCTTCATGAGTCCTTCCCACGAGGTCCAGAGCTGCTCCAGCCTGGGCTTCCCACAGAGTCACGGGCTCCTTCAGGAACACCCAGCTCTCCTGGCACCGAAGTCTTCCAAATCTGCGCAATCAGAGTCCACTGGCAGCAAATCCACTGGCCAAGTTCACCCCTCCTGGTGCCTTCAGGGAATGTTCCTCCATGAGTGCAGGGGCACAGCTGCCATCTCGCCATGGGTTGCAGGGAAACTTCTGCTTGGGCACCTTCTTCCCCTTCTTCCTCACCAGCCACCAGCGCTGCTCTCCTCCTCCAGCTCAGCTCCTTCCTCCAGCACAGCTCTTTCCCCACCCAGTGCCTCTCTGCTCAGGTGTTACATCAGTTTTTTCATGCTAATCGCGGAGGCCCATCTATTGTCTCTCTGATGGCTCTTTGTCTGGGTTTTGGAGCAAGGGGAGCTTTTCAGCTTCTTACCAGAGCCACTCCTATGGCACTTCCCCCACTACCAAAAACCCCACCAAACCAAACCAGAACAACAGTGGAAACCAAAGACATCTCAGTATGTCTCCAGGGAGACACTATTCTTCCTTCCCTGTAAATAAGCTGCCCCCACCCCTTCCTGAGCATCAGGCAGAGGTTGTTTCCTCCTCAGCTTCTGTTGTTCCTTACTAGCCATTCAGCATCATGTCACCTTCTTTCATGACACTGTTGCGTCTCTGTACTTCCCGCTGTTAGCAGCTGCTTGACTTCAGGGTCAGTACTGGTGCTACAGACAGCCTCTCCATCAATAACATTCTGTGAAGGAAAGTGACAGTTAAGATTATATGCAACTAACTTTATTTTATATTTGGCCCAAAACCCAGCTGGGTTCATCCTCTCTAAGTTTCCTGTTTCCAGAGGTCTGGAGCATGCAGTGGAAGGCTCCCTGTCCCTGAAAAACAGGCAGGTCAGCCTGCTCCTGAGTATTTATTAACTGTTTTCCTGGAGGATTTAAGGTAGCTTCTGTTTTGTCCAGCCAGTGAAAGTTCTTCGCCTGTTCCAGGTTTGGGGCACTCATAGGGCAGCAAAGATCTCAGTGTATTGCAAAGCTTTGATTTAAGGGCTGTGCTGTTTATAAATTCCTGGTTTGGTCAGATTTATTTCAGAGCTGATAGCTGCATGCATGTCTACATCTTTTTCTGTATTTTTGGAATTGGCACTGGTCTGACTGGATGGAAGTGAAGAAAATCAGGAGGTAGAAAACTAATCCCACAAGTGTCATGAAGTATCAAGTGCTAATGCAAGTGAGACAAAGGAATTTATGGATTGGACTAGAATAGAATAGGGGCTACCATTATTTTCATAGAGGATACCAAAATAATGACCCCTCATCTCTTTTGCATAGGCATTAAATGAGTTAAAGTGCAGTATTTGAGAAAAGATGTTGGGGGAGCAGTTAATACTAGTTAATCTAGTAAAGAAAGGCACTTCTGGAAAAAACATCTCTCAAGCGCACAAACCCTTCTTCAAGTTTCAATGATGTTCATTGACTTCACTTCAACAATCCCTGAAGGCACTTCATTTTATGGTACTACACAACATACAATGAATATTTATTTTTGTGCTCAGCATTTGGCACAGTATTATTGAGAAGTCATTGTTTGCTCTGTCTGCTTAGCATACAGTGGCTTCAATGAAGTTGCTGGACTGGAATGAAGATAGGTTTGTTGTTTTGTTGTTGTTCTCCCATATTCCGGGTGAAGTTGATGGGAATCATAGGAGACAGACCAGTAGAGACAATAATGGTGTTGTAGGCGAAGTTAGATTACTCTAAAATTTGAACTTTTGTTGAGAGAGAGAGGAAACTTCTGTCAAGCCTTGAATGGGAGTTTAAGTGGTATGAGGTTGTAGTGACCTCAATGGCGTTGTTTTGAGAAGACATACTGAGACGGAAAATACTTGTACTATGTATATTCTGTCTGTTTTCTTTGAATTGAGCACTAATGAGACAGTACTTTATTTGGTAGTGCAGTTAAACTCTCTATGTTTCATATGATCTAATACATAGTTTAGAGAAATTTGCATTCCATATGACTACTAATGTTTGCTTCAGTAATAGCCTGAATACCACAGAATCACAGAATAATGGCTTGGTTTGGCAGGGACCTAGATAGATCATCAGGCCCAATCTTTCCTGGAGAAAGGGAGCTTCAATGAGATTATCTAGCACTCTGTCCAGTCTCATCTTTAAGACCTCCATTGACAGGGAGTCTACCACATCTCTGGGGAGGTTATTCCAGATTTTTGTTGATGTAAAAAAATTTATTTCTTATATCAAAATGGAAACTCTCCTGGTGCAACTTGTATCTTGTTGTCTCTTGTCCTCTTCACATGGCAAGCTGCAAAGAGAGAACTTCTGTCCTCCTTGTAGCTGGCCTTTCAGTGGCAGCTGGAGCAATGTGATGAGGTTGCCCCTGAGCCTTCTCTTCTCCAAGGAGAAGAGACCCAACCCCTTCAGCCTCTTGTCCTAGGGCAAGTTCTTCAGCCCTCTGATAATCTTTGTGGCCCTCCTTTGGACCCTCTCCAGTCTGTCTGCATCTCTCTTGGGTTGTGGGAACCAGAACTGGACTCAGTACTCCGGGTGCAGCTGGAAAAGCACTGAGTGGGATGCTCATGTCTGTGTCTTTGTTAGTCACATCCTTGTGGATGCAGCTCAGGATCCAATTGGCCTTGGTTGCTGCAACAGCACACTGCTGACTTCATGTCCAGCTTGATGTCCACCAACATCACCCAGGTCCATTTCAACATATTTGCTCTGAAATTCTGAAGTTAACATCTAGACTAGAGTCACAAAGTGTCAAAGTGAGAATTTAAAGTTAGATTGAAGAAAGAAATTAATTACTTATAGCTTAAAATCTCCTTTTAGTGTTTGTTTTCTTTTATCCTTCATAATTTCATGCCATTTTGTATTTCTAATGTACCTACTCACCTATTCTGTTAGCTTCAAGTTATTTCCCAGTATTGTGGGTAAGACTAAATGGGTTGGAAACATTCACTGCCAAAACCAGTATGTCTGGATATCATGTGGTAGGGTGGATATCTCCCATTAAAACCTCTTATTTTTTAAAAAAATGTGTTATCTGAAAGGTATTTCTTCTTGGAGCTTTTTCTTCCAAACTGTTGGCATGGCTGTTGAATAAATTTCACATTTTGGAGGTTGAAGATGAAAATTAACAGTTCAGTCAGATGCTGAACCACTGCTGTTACAGCCACAAAATAAATTGACAGATGTCTAAATGAATAAATGACATGGACATCATTCTAAAAACATTCTCCAGGAGATTTAATTTTTTTTTTTCTACATTCTTGCGATGTTTCTTAGTACGAGCAGAATAAATTTGCTGTTGTCCTTGGAACAATAATACAGGGGAAAAAAGGTAAAAAATTAATATTTTTTAAACTTTTTCTTCTGAGCACAGGCAGGAATCTTCTATAAAAGGTTTTTCCTTTATTTGATAACTGTGAGTTAGTAAGTTCACAGGGTGTATAGCTTTTAAAACACAAAGAAAGACTGTTTACAGTGAAAGGATGAGGAGCTAGTGTGGGCACTCAGAATTACTTGGATTCTGTTCCCAACCCTCAAACAGCCTCCTTTGTGACTCAACCACTGTGCTTTCCAGAAAATTTGGACATCACAGATATGGAGACAGATTGGAAGCTCAATCTGTTAGGACTCCTCAATCCATTTGAGATATCGAATATCTGGGGAACCACAATGAGTCTCTAAAGTCTTGCAGGAAAAGTTTTGAACTACTTTTCTCTTTAAAAGTTTGACATTTCAAATGAATACCTGGAACTCTTGGAAACCTCAAAATGAGCATTAAACCACTCTCCAACCTTCCATATACTAACAGTTTAACTAGGCATGGAAACAGAGCATAGCATAACAGCTCTTTTAGTCTGTGTTTGGGTTTTGGTTAGTTTTTTGGGGTAATTCAATTTGCTAGAAATGTAATATAATTTTCAACAGTATAATGAAGAAAATTGCATACTTAATCATTATAATGATCATTTCTTTACTGAGCTTCACTGCCTCCCTACAGTGGAAACATTGAGTAGGCAAGAAGACTTGCATGATTTCAAGAATGGCTTAATGCCAAGTATGCAAACTTCTGCCACAGCAGAGGTTGCTCTTTAGTAATTTAATGCTATTTCTTTGCGTTCGTTCTCCTCTCTTCTGTTTTCCTCCTGTCACTTTTAGAACTGGGAAAGATCAATCAGACTTCTAGTTGGAAGATTATGAGAGAGACCATAGCACGAATTCTTACGTTTGATTTTTATTTTTGCCTGCAAAATTAAAAGCTTATTTCTAAGCTACTGCCTGAGAAATTCACTCTCAGTGGCAATAGTTTGTGTAGGAAACTGGCAAGGTCTTATGTGCAAATCAGAAATGTGATGTTAGGTATTCAGGCAGTAATGGAGAGTTCTCTTGGCACTCTCTATTCAAGAGAAGAGAAGGTAACTGAGGAAGTGCTGCTGCTGTGAAAGTACTAAGCCACTGCTGTTAGTTCATAAGCCTCCTTGGCTAGGATGTAATCTTAGCCAAAGAGTGGTACAAGCCAACCCTGAAAAAATTTATTTCAGGAGAATAGTTTCCTGTTACAATAGATAAGCAAATGTCTCTTTGAATTAAGCTCTCTGTGCCTGCCTTTCTAGATTTGTAATTGGTCACTCCATTATGGGAGGCCTCTGATATCAGTTAGTGTGTGGTTTAACAAGAGCTTGTCCTTGTTCCAAAATACTGTCTGGAGCCGAGACACACAAGTCTAAATTTGTCTTGCAGGCATCTTTCCCAGGAAACCTGCAGCTAGTTCTCGTTCTGCGCCCAACAGGATTTTTTCATCGAGCCCTCTCGGACATCGCTTTCAGGTTCAACAAAGACGAGCTTAAAATGAAAGTACCTGTAAGTAAGCTTCTGTTTTCACTTTATTATTGGGAATCTGTTAAAATACTTTATCTAGCCAGTAAGGACCAAAAAAAAAGCAAACCACAACCCAAAATGCCAAATAAAAAAGCTATGCTTAAAGGCAGTTCTTGAATTAAAACTTCCTCTTAGAAAATAACTATGTATGATTTATCAAGATAAAAAAACCTCAGTGGAGTATTTATGTTGTGAAATTCATAAGCTTTATTTTAATATGCACCTTTAAGCATGGTGCTCATGCTCATTTACAGTTATTTAAATTTACATCATCTGCAACTGAAACAACTGTAAAGTTTGGGGTTTTTTTACCCAAAGGAAATAGTTCCATAACTTGCTTCTGAATTAAATGGAAATTTCTCTATCAGACGCTGAATGGATGGGGCTTAGAATCTTTAACAACAGTCTTGTGGCCACTGGTGATGTTCACTATTTCTCATTGCTGCTGCAGGTCATAATGCTGGGCTCAGTATCAGAACTGCAGGGTTACATTGATAAAACACAATTAACAGAAGATCTTGGTGGCACCCTGGATTACTGCCACAGCAGATGGCTGTCCCGTCGCACTGTAAGTCTTAGTTTTTGTTTTAACTGTCCAGTTTAATGAGCCCTTCTGTTTCATACCCTGTCATTTATAAAACAGATTCCAAGTGATGCAAGTTGACTTGCTCTGAGTGAGAAGATGTTCCCAACGGTACTTAATCATCTTAGAGAAATGAGTAATAATTTGGGAGTGGTTTTTTGAACACTTGGAGGAAAGGAGCTACAGTGTATGATTGTGTGAGGTTTATTGTTTTTGCTACGGGAAAGAAAAAGCTCAAGTTGTAAAATAACTCCATATGATAAAAATATGATGAAGATACACCTGATATGAGCCTAAGAAAAACATACAATTAAGGAATTAATGGTGACGGTATCTATTGCTTGCAAAATTATACTTTGACTATTTTCAGTCTTTTAATTCATCTGCTTGGGTTTGTTTCAAGAGTTGTATTCTGTGTGTTTGTCTGTTTGTACATATGCATGTGATGAGCATGAAACATGTCTAATGGTTTTTATTCCAAAAGGCTATAGAAGGTTTCGCCCAAAAGGTTAAGCAAACAGCTCAGATTCTTCAGTCCTTTGGGACTGAGCTGGCTGAAACAGAGCTACCAAACGATGTGCAATCAACCAGCTCTCTTATTGCAACACACACAGAAAAGAAGGACAAAATGAAGGTATGTAGTTTTTATAGAGATGCTGTCTTCTAGTTAAGCTGTGTTTTAATTTATAGATAATAATGTTAGTAGAAAATCTGGAGGATATTAATAGACAATAATAATGTGAAATGTTGACATTTTATTGAACTTGTTTTGTTTGGTTTAATGCTAAATGTCCTTTTTCCATTCAAAAATGGCATTTCTTGAGGCTAAGTTAATATATGTACAAATGCATAATGATTTGTTTGTGGAAACAAATTCCTTTGTAAGTAGTGGTGTGTTTAATTTGTAGTTTGTTTGCAACAAGATGTTTGATTGTGTTTGCATGTATATGAAAATATATGACCTTTTGAAGAATGGACAAATGTTCTTTCAGATCAGCTTAAATGAAAACTTTGGGGGGATTTCAGAACTATCCATCTAAAACTTGAGATGTTTGTAGCCTAAAGGAGACACTGGAATGCTATGATGAAAATTCAGCTCAGTTATGCTGGGATCTTAGGATGGTCAATGTAGAAAAAGCTGACACGGAGCATTTACTGTCTATATTTGTTGTCAAACACTGCTTTCAATGAAATTACACTAGCTCTGTTACTATTAAAATGAAATCCTTTTTCCAGTTTGCCTTATGAAGTCTACTAAAGAAAAACCAACCAAAGGAACAGCACGACACAACTACAGTGCATGGGTTTTTTTGTTTTGTAGGAGGATATCAGGTTAGCAGTAGAACAGGGCGATGATATCCTTGGAAGTATTACAAAACCTGTTACTGTGAATCCTGAATACAAGCTGAATCAAGATCAGCTAGACAATCAAACAACAGTAGAAAGGTGAGAGGAGCAAAATACGGAAAATGTGGCTTTTCTGGGTTTTTTAACCCTTCCCCAGCTCTCTTACTTAGTTCCATATGCATGCTTAGCAAATTAGCAAATGTTACATGTGAGCACATAAAAGAATGCTTTTAAAAACAGCTCTTTACCTGGCTTTAAAGGAAATAGGGCATGTGGTTTGAGTTCTAGTACCAGCAAAATAACACTAGTGATTTTGGTATTTTCCTTTGTGTTAGATTTCAACTGTATAGTTGAGCAGCTTTTTATTATGTTAACGAATATTGATGCTGTGTTTAGAGACTAAAGTGCAATCCAAGAAAACTTTGCTGCTGTAGGGA